ACCATCAGGAATTTAAAACACTAATATTTGTATATGTGCTGTTGTGTCCATCACTAAGAGAAGTTTTTATACTGAGGGAGCTCCAGAGGTGGAATGAATCTCTCCAGCCTGCCCTTTGTAGCCCTTGTTTTCCAGCCTACACCCTTGACTGAGAGCTGAAAACAACACTAGAGCATCATCCTAAGGTAAACAGTGTCTGAAATGCAAACACTTCCCTATGACAGACTCTGAAGAACACCACTAATAGACTCTTACATGGAAAAATCTCCCAGTGCTCCAAGTGGATATTTTCCCCAGGAAAGACTTCAGAGGTTGGCTGTGTACTTTCAGAGGATTTAAGGCCTGGATGGACTTAAATATGGACAATGAAACAGAACTGAGCATCAGTCCCCCAGTTGAGTGGGAAATATCCTTCGGAAAGCCATGGAGTTTCGACAGGAAATTTACCAGTCCCAACAGGAATCCTTCCAGTGCCTAATCACCTCCACTCTCCAAACTGTACAAATGGAAAACTCAAGTCTTCATTTTCCTGGCTTTAATCTCAGTTATTTGATCTGTTTTGTGTTTGGTTTTGCTACAGCTTTGGCCACGTTACAAGCCTTCAGGTAACGTCTTCACTACACCAAGTATTTGACAAGTTAATAAACTGACCTGGCTCCCATTGTTAAAAACCATTATTTCCCAGACCTCAGCTCATCCCTTCAAGTCTTTTGAACCCACTTGAATTTCTCTCTATCTTTTCACTGGACAGAGCACTCCAGCACAAGGCTCACCAAGAAAATACACGGAGGTCATCCCAATTGCTTGTAGTTTATTGCATCCTTTAGTAGGGATTCAAGTATGTTCTGCGTGGCCTCCTCAGAAGAACAAAACACTTCTTGTTTGGTTTGTTTTTTTAGCTTTTTAATTAAAAAGCCCCACTCAAACTCCAACATTGTTGGTGATGGGAAAATGAATCATTGCCGATATTATTCCCTTTGTGCTGCTTGAATGAGTAAAAGTGCTTGCAGCAACAGAAGGATGAGTTGAGGGGAAGTAAATGAATGCACAATCCAGAGAATGGATGAGTGTGCGTATGTGTGCACAGGGGGAGGCTCCTGGGGGGTATTTGTCTTGTCTGTGCATATATGGACTTCCGGAATATCCAAGTCCTATAGACAAACTATACAAGCCCCTGATTATTCCCTAAACTAACTTGGAAAACTTAAACTAGAGTCAATTATGGGGTTTGCAAAACCAGCAAACCAGCTGAGATTGGGTTTAGTGAAGTGCTGAATCCAAATATAAAATCAATCACCTGTTGGTTTATTATATTATTTATTGCCCCTCTATATTACAGGTGCCAGGATGAGAAATTAGCTATTATTTGTAGGTGTTATACATATCTAAATTAAACTGGGTATTATATATAGCTCTGTACACAACATGTCTGTGACGGAATGCCTGCAAAATGCCTAGCCCGAGACTACTTGAGTTGGCAAAAAAACAATCAGTTGCAGCAAGTTGAAACTTCTGTCAACTCTATGGAATGAGAAGGCAGAAGGCTGCGCCCCCCAGTATCTCTATTACGTGGATCAGAGGGGGAAAGGAATCAAGAATTAACACTGGAAATGTTTAAATATGTCAGATGCATGGTGATTGTAAGTGCTGTTACGAGTTACAGCAAGGGAAAGGTGTTGCTTTCAGATTTAGAAATGCTTACTACAGCCTAACCTCTTTGTCAACACGTTTGCAACATCCATTTCTAAATGAATTACCTTATGGAGGAAACCAAAAGGCAGAAAACTAAAGAAATAGGGGTCAAATTCCTCCTGTGAGATCTACCTTGTAAAATTATCCAGAATGTAATAATACCATGTTATTGACTTAAGCACAGTTCCCTGTGACATGCTGCAGCTGACCTGTAATTTTTATCCTACATGTTGCCAGCACTATTAAAATGACACTTGTGAATGTAAATTAAGCTCACAAAGGGGACAGATTGTATGATTCTGGTTTCTCTCAGATGCCTGTAGGCTATCACAGGTTCCATATGTGAAGTAATTATGTTCACTGAAGGAAAGAATAAATGCTGTCAAATTGTGTACTGAGAGAGAAAGCAGCTATTATATTGCAGTAGTCACTGGAGCATTGCCTCAGAAAGTGGAAAGATGTATAAGAAAATAATAAAAAAGAAAAACTGGAGCAGAGCTATATTAAATATAACCTTTAAATGAGTATCTGCTTTTGAATATATCTTACACAAAGTTAATATATCACAAATAAAAGCGTTTCGGCTCTTTCATCCTATTTTTCTTCCTCACATCTAGAGGGAACAGGGCAGACTATTTATCGGGGGGTGGGGGGGTAAAGAACAGATAAAGCAACACCTTCTGCAAACCCTGAGTAACAGCAATGAGGCTGGGCAAGGGCACTGCCAACGACTGTGCAGCCCAAGCACCAGGCTGCAGCAGCACTGCAAAAGACTTGGCTTCAATCACAGAAGCCAGCAGAGCTGCTAAAAGGTAAGGGAATGTTCCCATCACCTCCACAGTGCTGTTCTGCTCTCCTGGACAAGGTGAGCCTAGATGCAGACCAGCAAGATCATCAGAAAGTGCTGTTCTCTTTGACCAACACCTCTCCCTGGAGTCTATGCGCATGGGAGGACTACCAACCAAATCCTTGAGTCCACATCAGCAGTAACAAGAGATTAGGTACTAGCACTGCTATGTCCCATCAAAGTCACAGCTTGTAGAAGACCATTCCATTTACACACTGTATCTGCTTTTGTGAAAATAGAAACTATGAGATTCGGGGGGGTTGCTTAGGTTAAAAGATCAGCCAGGCAGCTTCTGCAGTCTCTGCATGCACCTGCACATTGCACTGAAGAAAAGGGCCCCCACTTGCACCATCAGATACAGCTCACATCTCTTTACCTAAACTCTCTATAGGTTAAAATAGGGCAGTTACATCTGAATTGCCCGTCAGGAACAGGGCTTGGCACATACTGTCCCTGCTTATCCTCTGTGTGACCGGAAGCAAGGATCAGCCTGCTCCAGCCCTGCTTGACTGAAAGGGTTCCCAAACCACTTTGGGTTTTCCACCCCCAGCACTGTGAAGAAATTAAGGCCTCACCACATGTCCTTATTTCAGCCACTGCTTTCCCACCTCTGTTTCTAAGGTAAGAGCAAACAGCACGTGGATCCCAGCAGGGATGCACAGGGTACACAATTCCTGTTCCCATCCCACCACAGCCCCAGCCCTGCTCACTCCCCAGCCACTTATCTCCACAGTGCCAAACCTGGCAGGGAATTACCACTAAGGGTCCTCAGCAAAAACAGCTCATCTCCTCTTTGTCCAAGGCTGGCTTGGTAAGGAGAGGACTGTGAGCACAGCACAGAGCTGTGTTCAGACACAGACATAAGCGCAGACCCAACTCTGCCATCCCTTGCACTAGCCCTCCTCTCTCCTTCCCCACCCTTACAGCTCCTGCAGGCTTCCAAAGTACAGCGTGGCTAGCTGCTCTTTAATTCCTACCCATGTATTTCTATTCCTATCCTACTGTTGCCATCCATGTATTCCTATTGATTCAAGCACTGGGCCAAGCTGCAAAGGGGACTGAAATCCTCCTCAAGACCCCATAGCCATGCCATGCTCCCCACTGGATGTCACCCAGTGGTTCAGACCCCTTGCCTTGTCATGCACCTCCAGCCTGCAGCACGCTTCCACAAATCCCCTCAGGATCCTAGGGATGCATGTACCCTGCCAAAGTCCTTCCCAGGCAACTTCTGGGGCGCGTGAGGGTGCCTGTGCATAAATGAAACACTGCATCACACAGACTATTAATACCAATTGGTCCCAGATGGATGGGCAGTTAGATGGGCAGACAGGCAGCCTGCCTGTTTTCAATCAAACACAGTAGCAGTTGTACAACACAGTACAGCTTCTTCTTCCTTAAATAAAAAGCGGAAATCCACTGCCATTTCCTAAGCAGTTCCAAACTATTCAACGACTGTTTGCAGAGTAGCTCGTGTCATATGTGGGAGGCTGAAATGGAATGTAGAAATGAGAGGGTTTTTTCCAGTTGGCAGCATTGACAGCACCTATAATGTATGACTCTCTTGGATGCAGTGTGGCAGAAGCAGGGCGAGAAGCATCCAGTGCTATTCACTAGAGAAACTGTTACACATAAAAAGAGAAGGCAGAATCAATGAGCTCAGGATCATGGCAGGAAGGAGGGAGAAAAAGGGGGAAAGGCGGGGTTTGCTCTTGTGGTTTTAATAAGGATTTGTGGGGTAATGTGCAAAGGTAATAGAGCTGGGTCTTTAATAATAACAACTAGAACCAACTCTCTATGTTAACTGACCTTTAAATATTATTGTCCCTTTCAGTTTACCAAAAAGACTTTTACTTCATGAAAGATGTTATTCCACTCTGTTTAAAGATCCAATAGGCTAAAATATGCTAAAGTGATGACACTTAGAATTATCTCATAACCCCTTTTTAGGATAACTTGCATTATTTCCATGTGATTTGAATGTGATTTTTTTTTATTTGTTTTTAAATGTATTTTGAAACCATTTCAAATAATAGGCAGATATTGCCTGGACATTCAGGTTATCGGTAATGATACTAGGGTCTTTCTCAACAGCTGAGTAATTACTTCCTTATTATACTCAAGGCAAGTTGAAATCACATGCCCTGCTGAAGATTCAAACCTCCATTGCAAGGCAAAGGCAGCATTCAGACTGACATTTTACATACCTAACCACATTTCTTATAGTAAGGACAGCATCCATGGTATATTGCCTTGATAAGCTGTGAAATGAAGACAACTGGGAGCACCAGAGAATAAATACTACTAATAAAGAAGGTCTGCTGTGGAGGGAGGGGAAAGGCAGCACTTTTAAATGCTACATTTTCTCATCCTGCAGCACCACTTTCCACCCCAGGGGCCTGCCTGCCCCTGGCTAACGTCTGTTATAGCCCAGCTACCTCAGCATCTGGTGGGAGAAATGTACCTTTTCCCAGGCATCCTTCAGCTCCAAAAGGAAGGAAAAGTGGCACAGATTGCAGACGTGCTGAGAATGTGGATAAGTGAAGACGTGGTAAAGTAACACATGATAATAAACATCATCCAGCAATCCACTTCTGGTTATAGTCTTCTGGCACTCCTGGTTATAGTCTTTCATAATGAAAGAGAAATGAATGGTCATTTAAGTGACAAAACACTGTTAAATGATTAAAAGAAACACATACACAATCAGCAAAGAACTGAAGTGGAAGCTATAAATAAAACCAACAACCTCTTGTGAGAGTTTGAGCATTCTGTGATTTCAGCAAAACCGAAAACAGCAAAGACAGAAGGGACAAATTAAGTAGGAAGAGGAAGGAGGCTAATTTCATAAATAAAGCCCGTAATATCGTCTAAAAACAAATGCTAGTTACAATGCACTCATAGGCTGTGCTTTGGTTTAGGTCGGCTCTTATTTCACCCCCGCTATTTTTAACATTAGGAATCTAAAGCAGACAAACCTCATTTTTAATTGACTAGTACAGTTCATTTCAATGGAGCTAGCAGCCAAACAGATGCAAAATCTAAGCAGAAGACTTCAATAAAATGCTTGAGATAATCAGAGCATACCTAGCTGATGTATAGCTCCTACAGAAAGACACACTACTTACTTACCAGTTTTGCATCTTCCAATGAATTAACAACAAGAAGCATTATTTCTTTCCTGACTCCAACAACTGTTCAGTGAGCTTTGGTAAATTCTAGGTCAGATATTATACACTTGACAACAGCGCATTACGTTAGAAATCTGCAGCGATAAGAAAACCACACAGTAAATACATTATATCCAAGCAACAGCAGAAAGTAAGTTTGCATTTCATTTGCTGTGGGTTGCATAAGTTGGTAAGTGTTTTCTGGCAAGTGTCCTTCAAATCCCCAAAATAATGCATCTATTTTATGGTATTATCTCATTTTCTATTATATTTGTTTGTAGCTCTGCAATGAAACCATATTGTTATTAAGGGTATCGTTACACTAGAAAATTGCACTACCTTTTAAAACCCTGCTCTATTTTATGTGTATATAAATAGGAACGTTATGACCATATGAGATTCCTGTTTGTCCTTGCTATACTCTTGACACTGCTATAAATGCAAGCAGAGCACCAGGTCTGAAATACTGCCCCTTTGATTAGCTGCACAGACCTCTTTTTTTTGCTCTCAGTATGCAAAACCTAGCCCTGCTAGTTATGTCCTCAAAAAAGTGCCAACACTGTTTCCTTTACCTTTGACCACCAAGATGGGCCTCTATGCATCTGTATTTGTACAGTATGGTGATGGCAAATCACTCAACAGAGTGACTGGGGTTAGAAGATATTGAGGTGGGTAATGGCAGAGAGAGGTGGCTAATCCCAGATGCCTACAGGGAAAGGTGAGGAATGCTGTCACTCTCAGGCAGGATCCAGAAAGGGTTGGGTGATACATGATGCTCTCCTAGGGTGCAGGTTGTGCAATTGTTTCTCAAAGTGAGTGCAGAAACCCACTGTGAGCACCAAAGTGCCTCCCTAAGGACAGGAAGAGCCTAGATTTCCACCTGTAAATCCAGCCCTCTCACCCAAAGCTCAGCAGCAATCAGCCAGGTTGAGGATGGATGCATGGATCAAGGCAGCTCTGGCAAGGCGATGCAGATGCAGCACAGGAAGGGGCACTGCTGTGGTAGTGTCTGCATGGTCACATGCATGCAACACTGTGATGCATGGGTGTACCATGTAATCAGGGCTGAAGTCTAGTGCTATGCTCTGAGAAAGCCCAGAAAGGCCTGGTCTAAAAAGTTCTCTGAATCAGTGTAATTACAATATTAAGCACAATCTGTGGAACTAAAGTGGAATGAAATACAAACCCTCTGTTTATATAGGAAGCACTGAATGACAGTAAGCCAGCAACAGCCATTTTGCTCTGGTTTAACTACCTAACATCTGGAGAACATTATTAGGGCCATCAGCCATTTGGCCAGTGCCCAATATGGAAGCAGTTTTACCTTCTTCCCTCTAAACATCAGCACAGCCTTATCAAAACGTCTGTATTTCTCTTTCCTCTTCTTGAAACGTTCTCTGAAGTTGTTCCAATATTGCAGAATTTAGCTGGGATAAGCCACTTGTTTCTGGTTAGAAAGCAAACAGAATTGGAGCAAAATAAGAGGCCAATTTGAAACATTTAATTTAAAGCAAAGACAGTGAAGACAGTGCTGCTTATGAGAGTCCATGGTAAAGGCAGTTGTTCCAGCTATTTAAACCATATGATGACATGGCATTTCACAGTATAGAAGCGACAGACTACTAGAAAGCTGAAAACAGTATGCCCTTGTTCCTATATAAATATGTACACGTAACCTATCACTGGTTACTGCCAAACTTATACGAAGTGTAATTTGGTCGTTATTGCAGTCGCTGCGCTTGAAAAGAACCTTTTTTACTTATGAAGAATCCTCTTTTTCTTCCTTCTTTTTTTTCCTATTGTAATGAAAAAACACAGTTGTCAGCATAATATCCTGACATTCCGGATGCCAGCCTGTCTCCACTGGAGTCAGATGTGAAAATAAATAGATATTAAACTGTCAGTCAATGAAATTACAAAGTCAAGAGCGGCTCTAGCTGTGATCCTGTGTGTTCTGTTTGATGGACACAGGTGTTTAAGTGTTATGAAATCCAGCAGAGCCTCTGAGTGAATAATGCACCTTCCAGCAGCCCTGCCTTAGCTGAAAGAGCTCCCCTCTCACCCTGAGGCCCCCTAGCAATTGATGTGCCCTAAGAAAGGGGACAGAAAGGCCTTCAAGGTTTATCAGAGCTAAAATCTGAGAAGCCTTAAAGCCTGTGTTGTGGCATATGTTGAGAAATTGAAGCTGCGCTCCTCTGAAACTGTGAAGGTTAGTCCCACCGGCTTTGCATACAAATCTAAGGCAGATGCCCAAAATCCACATCGTTTATTTATTATTCATACGGCACTTAAAGTCAATCATCTGTCACTAATAAACATTAACACCATTAAAAATTAATGATCATCCTACAGCATGCTGAGACAGAGTCTTCTTTCTGTTTGATGAGTATTGGAGCAAAGTGTATCACTTTCATTTACTGACTCTTAAAAGTGTTTATGCTTTGTATAATGCTGCTGCTTCAGCTCCTCCTCCAAACACCAGTGACCCCATTCTCTTGGGATGCCAAGAAATGATCGGTCTCGTGAGAGGAGCCTGAAAGGATGGGTTTAGATATAAATATGGATCTGCAGAGGAGAAAAATAAGTCATGGATTCGAGGTTATCACACAGCAAAAAGCCTTTATGATTACAAGGCTTTTTGTCTCCCTTCCCATTCCCTGCTAGATAGTCCGGTGATGGGGGATGTGTGTCCCTGTGCTCTCTGCTGTATCAGGTACATAACTTAAGTGGACAGTGAGGTTGGAAGTAACAGCTCTGACGAGACTACCTGAGAGCCTCACAAGCTAGAACAAGAAAAGGCTTCCTGAAGAGCAACTCAAAAAGGCAACTTCACCAAAGGTCCACACAGTGTCGCAGGGCACTTTCTTCTCTTAGTGGGTGGGAGGCAAAGCCCACTGCTAGAGATGAAGAAACAGCTTGCACCTTAACCCACAACGGGACATTCCCTCTAAAAGCAGAAATGATCCTAGAGCCTTCATCTCTTGTGTTCACGTTTTCAAACATAGATCTTGGGGAATACATTTTCCCTTCGCCTTGATCACACTTCTGTCTTGCAGAGGCAGAGCTCATAACTCAACACTGTTTCCTAACACACACACACGGTGTGTTTTGCCCTGCTCCGCATTTTAGCAATTACTTAATTGTGGGACTGCTGTAAGTATACCATAAATAATTGCCTGATACACAGTTGATTCTGCTAAAATCCAGGCAAATTAATTAAACCTGTATTAAAGACCAGTAGAAGAAAAGAGCCAATATGTCTGTATGCATCAAATCAAACCAACCTCAAATTTCTTTGAGTCACATCAAATCTCTAAAAACAAGCTAAATTTAAGGTCTCAGTACTAATGATGTAATGGGAAAACATAACAAGATGATAGACATCGACCTTCCTCTTCCAATTTACACTCTAATATTTTAGTGCCAAACCATTTTACACAGAAAAACAGTGACTGTTAAGAAATAGATCTGTAAGTAGAAATTAGCAACTGCAATCACCCTGATTTCTTTCCTTACTCATGTTTCGCATGAAATAACTAATGGGGATTTGCAAAGAGCAGCTGTCAGAGCTAGAAACATAAAAACCAACTGGAAAAGCATGATGCCCCAGCACCACACTCCCTCCACTGAGGACTGCAAAGAGTTCATGTTATATATGTACTCACTGCCTTTGTGTTAGCTGGCAAGGGGTGGAACTAGATCATCTTTGAGGTGCCTTCCAACTTTAGGGCACCAATCCTGGTCCTGCAGTTGCACACACCAAGAAGTCCCACGGAGCCTGGAACACACAGATTTGAGCAGAATTAAGGTACACAACCTTCCAACTGCCAGGCTCAAGACTGATGTGAGCAGTAAGTCTAAGACATACCACCCTGCCCTGCTGCCCGTTCTTCACTGCCAACAGCCCGCTTCCTGATTTGTTTCATTTTTATCTTAAAATTCACGCACTGTGAAGCCAACTTCCTTTCATAAGGAAAGTGGGAATTACAGGCAAGGAAAAATATATTAAAGCATCATTATTCAAACCTAAAAACACAATGAAAATGTTAACTGTTTTTTTCCCTAAGGTGAAGGTGTTTATGGCTAAGTTTTTTGGAGCACAATTACATTCAGACAGACAAATGCCAGCTTAAAATAGAGCATTTCTTTTTCTGACTATACCTGGGAGAAATGGAAAAGCACCTTCAAAGTACATTATCTCATATCAAATCCTTATCCTAAAAACCTCAAAAACATTAGGTTTTGGGGATAATTCTAGGGAAACCAGGCAGCTAAAATACAGTGCCTTATTTTCCCTTCTTACATTGAATACCTTGCACTGGCTTTCTTCAGTGGGTAAGTTCGGATTCCCACAGGGCCTGGGAACTGCAGGACCAGTGAAGCTGAACCATGTTTGAGATGGGGCAATGGTAAGCACGACACAGGCTTGTGCAGTACCATCAGCAG